GGTGGCCGACCCTATGGAAAGACACAGAGGCATATGTCACAGGCTGCCTGACATGCACGACAGCCAAGGGACTCAAAGGGAAACCCCAGGGGCTCCTCCAACCCATGGCAAGTCCAGATGCTCCATGGCAGGAGATTGTGATGGACTTTATTGTGGAACTACCCAAAAGCAGGGGAAAGACGGCCATTTGGGTGGTTACGGACTTGTTCTCAAAACAAGCACACTTCGTGGCTTGCAAACAGGCCTCCACGGCAGAGAGGCTGGCCCAGTTGTTCATCCAACACGTGTACCAGTTGCATGGCGCCCCCCCCCGGCGGATTGTGAGTGACTGAGGCAGGAACTTCATTGTGAAGTTCTGGCGGGAGTTCCTGAAACGGGTGGGGACTCAACAAGCCCTGTTGTCGGGGGCACATCAGGAGATGGATGGAGTGACAGAATGCCTTAATGGGGGGCTGGAACAATACTTGCGGTGCTACATAGGCTACCAAAAGGACGATTGGGCAGAGCTATTGCCATTTGCGGAGGTAGCCTACAACAACGTGGTGCACAAAAAGCACCGGATTTACACCCTTTAAGGTGGCCACTGGGTAGGAGTTTGTGGCCATGCTGGAGCTATCCCAAGTGCCATCCCAAATAACCTCGTTGGATGAGTGGTTCGGCCGCATCAGCATCATGCAGCAGGCAACCCAGACGGCGCTGGAGGTGGCCAGGGCAGAATACAAGAAATATGCAGACCAGAAATGGCTGCCAGAATGGGAATGGAAGATGGGGGACAAGGTATATTTGTCTATGAAAAACCTGAGGACGCATCAGGCATCAAAAAAGCTGGGCCCAAAGTTCATGGGGCCTTTTCCCATTACCAAAATAATCAATCCAGTGACCATCAAACTGGAGATCCCCAAAGCGCTAGGGAAGGTGAACCTGGTGTTCCACTGTAGCCTGCTGAAGCCGCACCGACCTTCGGCTGACTGGCACAAGGAAGAGCCAACTCCAGCAACCCTCATGGTGGAGGGAGAACAGCATTTCGAAATAAAAGAGATCTTGGATGCCAGGAAGCACAGGGGCCAGGTCCAAATGTTGGTGCAGTGGAAACATTTCCCAAAAGCCTACAGTGAGTGGGTTAGCAAGAAACACATCAACGCACCGCAGCTAGTCAAAGACTTTTATAATTAGTACCCTGACAAGCCCAAATAGCAGGGGAGGTCGCTCTTCAGGGGGCGGTATGTCAGGTTCAGCCTGGCACATGCCATTCAAGCTAGCTGCCATTCCACCTAGCTGATTTCAAACGTGCCTAGTCAGTTTCCTTGCCTCAAGCGCAGGCAATCGAAAGAGGAAGTGCTAAACCGCAAGTGAACTGCTGACAGGTGGCGGCAATCAACCCGTGGCAGGAACCAATTACTTTGTAACAAACGGGATTTCCCCTAGCCACCGGAGGCAAGCTGCCAACAATGAAGACAAAGAACTCCACAACTCAAGCCACGCTCAACCGCTCATCAAGAGCAATCGTGAGTCAGCCTCACAGGACCTGCCGCACAAGCAAGGCAGCCGAAAACAAAGGACACTGGCTGAACCTCCCATCAGCCCGGAGCGGGGAGAGCCAAGGGCAAGGGGCGAGCCAAGGATGGGCAAAGGTAGGCGGGACTTGCAAAGTGCGGGAAATGGGGAAACTATAAAATGCTATGTAACCTGTGCCAAGCCAATCCTGGCTTTGTTTGTAACCACCTGCATTATACCTGAGTACATTGCTTTCGTATGAGCCTGCGTCTCACGGAGTCTTTATTCAGCAATGAATGCGGCAACTCTTACACCCTGAAGATCTGGCTGGGCTAAGTGTGGGATACACCCTCTATGGCAGTGTTTCCCAGCCATAGACATTTCCAGGTCCATGGACTTCAAATCTCAGAATTCCATGGCCACTGTGGCCATGGATAAGAATTCTGGGACTTCACGTCTACACCACTGGAAGTTGCCAAGGTTGCAAAATGCTGCTCTATGGTATTGGTTTTGCATGTTGATAGCATGTCTCTTTTTGTTATGACAATTTTTTAAAAAATGTCAACTTTTTATTATACTGCATTGGGTTGTTGTTTTTAACTCTGAACACTATCTAGAGTTGGTGATGAGTTGGGCAGCCTTTGAAATCTAGATAATGGATAAATAAATAAATAAAATACTACTGGACATACTGGCTATATTTACCAGACATTGTAGTTCAACATCTGGAGGGCTGCTACCTGATTCTACAGTACTGAGAATTCTAATTCAGGGCTACATTGTTGAGCCTTGCCTTAAATAATGACTTACACTATGTCAGCTCAGTGACATCATACTGGCTAAGATAACAAAGATCCCTCAAAACCTCTTCATATACAGTAGCCAACTGAACCTGAGGATGAATTTTAACTCACCAATGGGATATTTAGGTTGTTTACATGACACAAATCAAACTCCAGGGTATGCTCAGTACTGTCCTCCAGTAGCTTGTTATTGACCAGTAAAATTTCCTGCCTAATGGAGGCACTTTTCTCTTCTTCATGAAGGTCCAGGTGGTGCTGAGATTAGTGTATTGGCCAGAGACTGGCAGAGCCACCCAGGTTTATGCCAGCCAGAGCCACCTCACTCTCAGCTAGGCTTACCAGATATCTGAACAGGCAAAGGAGGACACGGACAATTGGAAAGGAGGACAAATGGGGGGGAAGGAGGACACACTGTTTAAATTTCTTGGCATCTGTGACAAAAATTACAGCAAAAAACTGCAAAAAAATGTATTTAGGCCTACACATATATGACATTAATCCGTTATGAGAAAGACTATTTTTTCAATCATAGTATCTTTCCAACAAATCTTTATTTTCAAGAACATAGGCTAGCAATAATATACTGTAGAATGGACAAAGACGCGCTTTTCAAATTTCACCATAGAAACCTGTGATGACTCATGTGATCTATAGACTAAAGCGATCATAGATTTGAAGGGGCTGGATTGAAGCTGATTGCTGGAATCGGGAAATAAATAATGTAAATCTAGGCTGTTGAGTCTGTCAATGGACAAGGGAAAGAAAGAAGCAGACAATTTACAAGGTCACAATACACGAAAGTTTGAATGACTACTGTTGTGAAAACCGTCCAAAATAATAATAAAAAAACCCATGATATGCAAAAAGCCAGACAATATTTGATTTTAAGGCTATGCCTGCTGGACGGAGGACATGAGGACAAAAAGGAGGACATGTCCTCCTGTGTCTGAACATCTGGTAACCCTACTCTTAGCCCAACCTCCAGTGTGGGAAGGTGGTTGAATGGAGAAGTGCTCTATAGGCTATCTTGCCTTGAGCTCTCAGAGGAAAGATGTAAATACAAATAATAGTAAGGCTTCCTACAGCTTGCTTTTTTGGTGCAGGATATATTACTCATAGTTGACAGATATTCCCTTGTATAACTTTCTGTGTACAAGTAGTATCTGCGTGCACACCAACATGTCTGAACATGTCTGTAATTAGTTAGGCAGGTTTCTTGACTACTAATTATATGCAAGAACAAATATGGTTAATGCTTGTCATACTTCATGGCTTTGGGACCCCAGTGGTTTTTTTTTTTTTTAAATAACCTGTCAGTGACATACCTAACCAACTGGCTGATAAGACGGAAGGAAGGAAGGAAGGAAGGAAGGAAGGAAGGAAGGAAGGAAGGAAGGAAGGAAGGAAGGAAGGAAGGAAAAGAGGAGAAAAAAGGAAAAAAATCCACACAGGGATTGGTTAATACCTGGCTAAGAGACCAACAGGAGTTCTCAGGGATGCAAGCTAGATTGGAACATTTTTAAAAATCGCAGAAGAAAACTACCTGGCAATCCTCGTGAAGTCTCCAGATATTGAGCAATAAGTGAGAGTGTCTTTATTTTTTCTATGTATACATCCTTCAACACGGACTTGCATTTATGGGCATACACAGAAAGTTGTAGAGGGAGCGGTATTAGATACGCCTATCTTTTATTCTCACGGCAGCTTTTCAGCGCAGAAAACCGTAGAGCAGCATATCTTGGTCTTTGGGGTTCTTCAGGTCTCTGTATGTTTGATGTAATATGCTGCTACGCCCTCACTGCAGATGTTCCCTAACAATGACTCGGGAAATAAAAGAGTCCCTCTGTGTAAACACCGGGCGCGGGGAGAAGAGGCAGCCGGCGGTGGGATGCTCCCTTCTCTCCGGCGACGATCGGCGACGATCGGCAACGCCCCCCAGCCAATCCGAAGACCCCCGATCTGCTTCCTTTCCCTTTCTGCCTACCTGACAGGCGCTTCCGTTGCGGGAGAACTCGCGCGCTCCTACTCAGAAATGCATCCCAGCTTAAGGCCCGCCCCTTC